GAGCTGAACCCACAGCCAAGAGCAGGAGGGTTTCCCCAGGGACCCCAGACCCAGGGCATCCCTGGCTTTGTCCTGGCAGGGTGAATGAGGGCCAGGACCCACCTGCAGCGTCACCGGGGCCTCCCGGTTGTAGCGGCCGTCATCCTGGAACGGGGAGCTGCGGGAGCCCCCGGCCTGGCGCAGCCGGAAGCTGAACTGGGTGTCCCCGAGGCCACCTGCCACAGACACGGGGACAGTGACGGCGAATGGCTCCAGCACAATGGGAGGGGGCCATGGGGAAACCCGGCAGGGAATGGGGAGGGACAGGGCAGAAACCAAAGAAATCCAAAAGGGAGAGCAAAGGGAAAAAGGAAGGAAAAGGGAAATGGAACTATAGGAAAAAGCTTTTCCCTGGCAGGGTGGGCAGGCCCTGGCAGCTGGGGCTGCCCCTGCATCCCTGGCAGTGCCCAAGCCAGGCATTACATTGGGGCTTTTGGCAGCCTGGGACAGTGGGAGGTGTCCCTGCCATGGCAGGGGTGGCACCGGAGGGGCTCTGAGGTCCCTTCCCACCCAACCATTCCAAGATTCCATGAAAATGCAGAAACCCAACCCTCAAAGCCCCAGGGCCTGGCTGGATGGGCAGATTTATTTCTCATTGTCCTTTTGTGAAGTACAAACTCAGGTTTGGGAACATTTCTGCTGGAAGTGTCTCCTCCCCAGCTCCTGCTCCCAACCACAGGAATGTGACAGCTGCCACCCCTCCTGGCCACATTGGGAATTCCCTTGGAGCACCCACCCAGCAGAGCACGGGGGGCTCTGGCTCAGCCCCAGGGTGCTCCCTGCAGTCCCCTCGGCCCTGCTGCACCCCAGGGACTGTCCTCCCACCAGGGACACTTCTGTCACCGCCGCAGTCACCCACCTGAGTAGGAGTCTGGGAAGGACAGGTAGCAGATGCTCGTTTTCTGCAAAGAACCAACACCCAGTGAGGCCCAGGAGAGCTGCTGGCAAAGGAGGGAGGAGGGAATGAAGGGTGGGGTGGTTACCTCCTTCTCGGTGAGCCTGAAGTCGTGGGGATACACCAGCTGTGGAGAGAGCAGAGCCTGTCAGCCCCTGCGCCCACAGCTCCACACACAACAACTCCCTGACCCCAGCAGAGCCCACGGGAGAGCACCTGGGATGATTTAAACTCTGAACCTGGCACTGAACCCGGCTTTATTTGCATTTCTGGACAGACCCAAAGGCTCCTGGTTTAGATTTATTCCTGATGGCCGAGTGAATGAACTGCCCCAAATCCTCTGGGAGCATTCCAGATGTGCAAACATCTGTTCTGTCAGGAGCAGGACAGGACACACAGGAGGGACAGGGTGGAGCAGGAGCTGGGAAAGAGCAGGGGGGTGTGGGGGATGCACTGCAGGAATGGGGAACCAGGAGGGCTTAACAGCCACGGCTGAGACAAATCCCACAGGGAGGAATTCTATAACCTGGATTGGATAACCTTGGAGGGCTTCTCCAGCCTGACTCTGTGCTTCTCATAACCCATGGGGATCACAGA